ACACACACACACACACACACACACACACACACACACACACACACACACAGTGACACACACACAAACACGCACACACAGACACACACACACCGACACACACACACACACATACACACACATGTGCATGCGGACACACACATTTTTTTCTTCAATTGATTGATTGATTGATTGGGCACGTTTGGGAGCAACGTTTTGTGTCAAGTGTGCACATCAGAGGGGCGAAACTTGGACGAGTAGTAGAGATATGCGAAGCAGACGAGGAAAGTGGTTGCGACAAGGAAGGAGAAATTACAATATGGACAAGGAGAGTTCGGCTACAGCCACTTGCAGCAGAGTGGAGGAGTGGGGTGCAGACGCGTTGACCTCCGACCCGACGCAGAACTCCGGAAGCCAAAAAGGAGGGACAGCAGGTTGTGCGTCAACCAGCGTTGTGCAGCGAGGAAGCCACACCAGTTTCAAACTTTGGTCGTTGCAGAGGATCGTGTAAGGGCGTCGTGTCGAAAGGACCTATACATTGGTGAGGTGCCACAATGGTAGCTACTAGCTTCTGCGGATGGTGGCGATGCAAGACAACGGCATGAACAAGGGTGAAGGGTTAGTGCAAGCGTCGATAAGGGAGGGAGGCCCTTGCGATATCCCTCTATCCTGGCGGTGGTAAGAGAACCGTCAGAATTGAGGGCTTACCTGTCGGGCTGCTCCATCTATTGGTGGGGAGCGGCACCTGCTGGAAACCCGGTCCAACGTCCAATTGATACATCGTGTAGCACTGAGATTGGTGTTTGTTGTTCACCTGGGCTGTGATTATTTTTGACTCATCCAGGGTCTCCATCATCCCATGGAGCTGCTAGAATCACCCGTCCGTTTTTTAGGAGTACCCCTCATCTATTAACCCAGCCCTTATTTCAGCAGCCCCCCTGTTTGAATATTGCTATGTCTGTTCCTGTAAACCCTTTATGTCGTATTCCCCTTCACAGTTCGGCTAAACATTCGTTTTATCAAAATGTATTTGTGATGGCGACCAGAAGAAGGCGTCGTCGACGAACTCTGGCGGGTAGCACTACACAGCACTCTGATGCGCTTGCCTACCTGACAGCCTACGCCTAGCTTAACGGTTACCTTTAGCATACCATACCTTGTCTCTGGACTTCATAACCCTGGTCTTGTCGACTGCATACATGTTGGCTCTCGGTAGCTGCTTGCCTACCTGCCCCACCTTTAACATCGTATACCCAGGTGTCTGCAACCTCCCTAATTTGTACATCAAGTGTTGTGGGCAGTGACACATGTCTGCATGCAGTCAAATGTGTATGTGAAGATGTGGAGATGTGAAGGTGCTTGTGCCTATTATACCTTGATTGTGTCTATTGTTCTACAAGCTTTGTATGTGGTAGAAGTTGGGGTTGTGGATAGGTGAAGAGAAGTCAAAAAGTCCACATCTGCTTGGCGTGGCTTCGAGCTGGTAGTTGTTCCACCTTTACTCCAAACTGCTGCAAGCTCTGGGGCGCGCCGTTGCTGCATCCAGGCACGCAGATAGTTGCTGTTTGACTCTGTTCTGCATTGTGTCCTGGCCAGGGTGTCAAGGTCGGTGGGGGTAGGACTGGGAGCACCTCGAGGGGGAGGCGATGGATATTATCAGCCACTCCCCTGAGAAGTCAGGGCAAAGGTAGGGAAGAAGTGCGTGGAAGGGTCGGTGACAGTGGTAGAGGGAGTGTTTGGGGGGGGGGAGGCGGGCGGTTGGGTTTCACCCCAATGGGAGGGACTCAGCAGGGGAATCGGGGGAGAGGGGGTCAGCAAAAACTGTTTGCCAGTGTATCCACAATTTCTTCAGCAAAATACATAAAATCTGGAGAAAGATGTTGCAGAACAGTAGAACATTGCAATACAAACACCTTCTCCCGCCGAGGACATTTTCAAAAATAATCAGATAGCCAAATGAACCTCTCTCTCTCTCTCTCTCTCCCACACACACACACCACATGCAGCTGCACCATGTCCTCGTATACTTTTTATAAACCACTATTGGCCCCATGCTAATCTTTTTTTTTTTTTTTTTTTTTTAAGTCCCTTGAACAGACACTTTTATTCCAAGCCTGGCCCACCGAACAAAAACAATGTGGGCCTACTCATCGCAACGGGAAGGCAAAATTACATTCTTTTGCTGCAAACATTTGATTTGCAAGCAAGTTTTTTTTTGTTTTGCTTCATTTTTCAGAGGGAAAACTGGGGCGCAATCATCATCTCAGTTTGAAAATGCACTTCAGTCACGATTTCCCAAATGTTGTGCCGAAGCGAGGAAAATCGTGAATGTATACAACCTAGCTTTAGGGTCAGGTGGGTATGTGTTGCATTCCAGGGATCCACTTCACCTACCTAGCTTTAGGGTCAGGTGGGGATACGTTGTATTCGTGGGATCCACTTCACCTTTATATTGAAATCATGACTGTGCCCTAGTTACCCCTTTTTTTAAACTGTGGCAATTTTTTTGTCTTTCTTTTTTTTGTGTGACATACAGATTTTTGTCAGTTTTTGTTTAGTTGTATAATGTGCACGCAAAAAAATTGCCAAATAACCAACTGGCCTAGTTCAGTTAGTACACCCCCGAACTGTTGATGAAATACAGACCAGGTTCAGAGTTCGAACTCCACTGGACGCAGATGAGTAAAATTACACTACAATTCCGAATTACCTACGGTAGGGCAGGGTCACCGGTTCTACGACGATATGACAAAAAAAAAAAGAAAAAAAGCACATAAAAAGGTCCTACGAGGATATGTCACTCTTTTTTTTTTCATGCGCCTGGGCCTACCCTCCTGGAATGCCATGACAGGTTTCCAACAGGTGTCAAGGATATTTCCCGACGGTAAAATTATACTACAATTCCGAATTACTGACGGTAGGGCAGGCTCACCAGTTCTACGACGATATGAAAAAAAAAAAAAAAAAAAAAAAAAAAAGGTCCTACGAGGATCTCTCTCTTTTTTCATGGGCCTGGGCCTACCCTCCTGGAATGCCATCACAGGTTTCCAACAGTCCTCCCAATATCTGCTTTGTGCACCCCCCCCCTCCAAACCCCTCCCTGAAAAGGCACTGCTTTGTGGCCCCCCCCCTCCAAACCCCTCCCTGAAAATGCACCCCTTTGCACTTCCGCTTCGGTCCTGAGGGGACTGTAAAACCCTGCCTGGGGTGTATAACATCTCTCACTCTCACAGTCTGAGAACACACAAATTCCGTGCCGCAGAGCCTTTCTCGCATATCTCGCATACTTCAGGTAAGTTGCCTCCACTATATGCCCTTCTTCACCCACCAGTCCACTTCCCAGCCATTTCTCAGAGTCATGGCGTTACTGCCGGGCTGCTGCCGGAACAACTCTCTCTCACACAACATCCACCCATGCAAAACGGGTGGTTTCAGGAGTTTCAGGGGGTTCAAGGGGTTTCAAGGATATTTCCCGACGAAGGGGTGTTTCCCAAAGGAAGTGGAGCACAAGCCGTCCAGCCAAAACAGGTAGTTTCTGGGATTTTCAGAAACAAGTGGAGGACAAGCCGACAGACTTATATCTGTCTTCAGTCAGAATCAGTCAGAATCTAGAGAACAGCGTCACGGGTTATTAGCTCCCACACTGGGGAAATCAGAAATGGATTTTTTTCAACTTTTTTTGATTGATGGGTGGTGCTCTCGAATTGTGTAGAGAAGAACAAAAAAGTGGGGGTAGTAGATTGATAGTGGACAAATGGGTATGATGTGATGGGTGAGATAGTGCTCTCCGATTGTGCATGACCCGACCTCTCAAAATCCAAAATCAAAATTTTGGGTAAAAATTCCATAAAATACTGTAAGGTTAATAGTGAGAATATGCCCTGGTAATAATTAAAAAAAAAAAAAAAAAAAATCCACTTGTGGAGGGAATTGCACATCATGTTCTGCCGCCCCATCACTTGCTTCCGTGGGTTCAGGGTCTGCTCACCTTTGAGCATATTTCCTTCTCACAACACGATGCTAGGCAAACGGCCTACCGTTTTCCGCCGCGAACACAACGCACCCTCATTTTGGCTGTACCTGACCGGAAATATAACTTGTATACATTCATGATCGGGGTGCGTTATGTTTGGAGCAAGACGGTAGTTCCATTCCACCACTCGCCATCCGCTGAGCATCTTTGCATGCACATCTGGACAAAGCGTCTGTATTTGGGCCTCGCTGCACTACCTCTCGATTTGTGCAAAACAAGAGTGAATCTTACGGTAGAACATGGAAAGATGCACCTCAGTGAAGTTTGTCGTTTGTGCATGTCGAGAGTAGTGGAGCGACGTCCTAGGGCCTCGTTGCACTACTCTCGACATGCGCAAAAGACAAAAATCATGGCCGTGTATCTTTCCATATTCTAGAGGAAGATTCACTCTCGTTTTGCACATTTGCAGCGAGGCCCCTATGCCTGGTGGATATGTTTGGCGGTTGGCGGGCATTGCAACTCTACCCTAGGCCCAAAGCTTCTTTCCCATTTTTTTCCCATTTCTCAATGTATGCGTGTCATCCTTGCGCAGAGGCCATACTAATCTTCTTTTTTTTTTTTTTTTTTGACCATGCTAATCTTCTCTGATACCGTTCCATTGTTTTAACAGATATATCCCAAAAGGACACCCCACAGCTTTTTCTGTCCTTTTCCAGATGTGAGGTGTAGATGCAGATACATATAAATGAAAAGGAATGACGTTTGTAATAAAAAAAAAGAAAAAAAAAAAAAGGAACGAGGTATTCAGCTATTTTAAAAGGAATGAGGTATTCAGCTATTTTACATAAACAAGAGAAGTTGCAACAGCACAGAAGGGTTCGCGGCAGATAACCAAGACCACAGATGGCATGCGTCGTCGTATTGGCTCCCAATGAATTTCCTCTGCTACCGGTAGTCCCTCTGTTCTCCCTGCTGCTCCACTTCACCCATACTATTGAGCATCACGCCCCTCGCCCTCTCACTGCTGCTCAATTCACCCATACACATATGGAGCATTGCCCCCCTCGCCCATCAAAATGTACATTCCTTCCCGGACCTTCCCGGACCCGCCCCGAACAAAATCAATAAAACGGCAAGCACCGCACGAACCTCCAGAATAACGTCCCCGTGTCGCGTGCGCAGCAACAAGGAAGCGTAAGATAGCAACAGTAATTAATCTTCAGTTATCTCTGCACAAGATCAGGGCACCTACACCTACAGTAGTAGCAAAGTCTGAAAAAAATGATAATACACCCGCGAATACACTGTCACAACGGCGGAGAAAGAGCACATCTTCATCTCTCTCTCTCTCTCTCTCTCTCTCTCTCTCTCTCTCTCTCTCTCTCTCTCTCTGTGTACGTGTGGGTGTGTGTATATGAGTGTCTGTTCCCGATACATAGCAGCGCACGCACAGCCACCMCCCCCCCCCTTCTCCTCCCCCCGCGGGCGCGCGCACATACACCCACACGCACACACACACACATGGCCGGCAGTGTCTCCGTCTCTCCCGCCTTGACTCCGGGTGCCATATTGTCTGCACTGCGCCTAGGTATGCATACTCTCTTCTACACAAAGCTGCGCAGTAGGGACCACCATGATCGTAAGAGCAGAAAGCTACTTGCCCTTTTAGCCCTCTCAGCATGCCAAAGAGCAGTAACCTCGTACAGTGGATGAATGTTATGGTCAAAACCGCCATCGCGCGGGGCCGATTTCCTCTTCCGCACGCCATATGACCGCAAACATGCCCTGCAGTGTCTGCGTCTCTACCGAGTTAACACCGCATGCCAAACCATCAAACCATGAATGACGAAGGTATATGCACACTGTCTTTGCAGTCGCCTTCAATGTTATCGTCAGCAAGAAGACCATCAAACCATGCGAACCCACGCGCGGCACAGACACTGGTGCTCTCAATCTGTCCCATCTATCAATGCCAACTCTCCCTTCTCTCTCCCTTGGTCCTCATCTTCATCTTCTATTTTAAATTCCACATATCAACGGGGGGAAAAATGGAATCGCCTCGTGTCCTCGTATCGCTTGTTCCTCGCCCGCCTGGTATCCCTTATTCCTCGCTCGCTTCCGTCGTACAGCAGCAGTACACACCCCCATGCCGTCGCCTTAACTGATCAAAATGCTGCCCCTTAACCGCTGAATGATGAAGGTATATATGCACCGTCTTTGCAGTAGCCATTCGCATTCTTTTTCTTACAATAGAAAAAAGGCAACCACATCACGTCGTTGCCTCTCCGGTTTAGGTTCGTCTTCACCGTAAGGAACTCGGACAAACACTCCGCCAGCACGTTCCACGTCCGTAAGAGGACGCAATGATGACCAATTACATGGAACGTTCAGTACGACAGAGACCTTCGAGCAACTTAACGCAGGACCACGTGGAACAGAACACATCAGCACGGGCCATGCTGTGTGGACCAGATGGCACACAGACCACGTCAGCAACACACGATGGACCACGTGGAAGAACATACCGTCCGTGCGATGGACCATCCAGAAACACAACCACGATGTGAAACGCCGTAGGACTACCTTCTTCTCCCGAACACAACGTCCGGTCATTACAGTTGTATTTAGACTGAAATAGATATACCCCAAATACAGCTATAATTACCGTACGGGCTTTTTCTTGTGTGTGTGTGTGTGTGTACCCCCCTCAGAAGACCCCCCCATCCACCCTTCCTCTGATCCAATTACCCCCTGCGGCGCACCCCCACCCTTCCTCTGATCGCCAGGACGATGAACCAAAACCCAGGACCAGAGGACCAGAGGACCAGAGCCCACCCGCCACTCAAATCGTGAGAATCGCTCGGGGCAAGGCTCTACAACCAAGCAAATGAACGACCTGATAGCCAACAGCACAACCCCACTCTGAGCCTCAACATCCCCCCCTTCCTTCCTCTGCAACGAATAAAATAATACTATACGAACGACCTGATTGCCAACAGCACAACCCCATTCTGAGCCTCAACATCCCCCCCTTCCTCTGCAACGAATAAAATAATACCATACTACTGTTTCCTAATCCTACCAAGTGCGCGTATATATCTATACAGCAAAGGGCTTCGCATTTACTTCCTAGTAACAATAACAAATCAAAATGACTCCATAGCTGCTGATAAGTGACGTGGAAATGACACGCGTCAGGCGCGTCTTCGGTGCCGCATGCGCATTTTTCATAAGTGCAATGATTTTGAGCAACTGAATTGTCGACAAGTTAACAAAATAAAACTATCATCTTTTCCGAGTCAGACTGCGACCCGCTCCCCGATCCATTACATCACCACCCAGACAAACACATTCCTGTATTGGATATCCCAGCTTCGAGATCAAAGCGTGCCTCCCTCCTCGTCTCATGATGTCAACCGCGAATCATCAGCGCGCTGCGTCTTGACAAAGGAACGCTTGCTGTCCACGATATTTCCAGCAGCCGCGGAGTGTAATAAACGATGTCCCTTCACCGCAAATCCGCTAATCTGAGCATACATACCAGTTCGTCCGATCACCGTGAGCTCGCGGCCTCTATATACACTGAGTTCTGCAATATCGCCCCGATTGTTGATGTATAATGAAGTCAAGGAAAAGAGAGAAGCAGCAGCATAGTCTCATGTCAGGAGTGTGCTTGATGATCTCCTCTCTCCATAACTCTCTGTTAATATGACTTCCCTCTCTAAAGAATGGCCATCTTTCACATGCTTCCCACCCACGAAGACAGACAGACATCCCTGGCTGCGCTACCTACAGCTTCATGACCATCCGTATGGCCAACACCTACCCCCCCCCCCCCCCTCCACTGTACACCCGTGAGCTCCCTCAGAGTCAGATCCCACACTTCTCTGCGCGCCGTGTCCCGTAATGTAAACGCCAGATCACCCATCATCCACCACGAATTTGCAAACTGCGGCATCAGTTCGTCTCCCACGTCGAGCACCGCAATCAAGTAATCCAGAGTAATCAAAAGTCGTCAAGAATTCACCCACGTGGCGCAAACGCACGCACAGTCGACCACATCCGATCAGCTCGTGTCCTTTTCCGCGCTCACTACGTGGATGTGGACATCGCGTAGCATGTGGCTACCAGCGCATCACCTACTCACACTCCTTGAACACCGGGCGAACAATAAATAGCTCTGGCGAACGAAAAGTACCCACAGCACCAGACAACAGAGTGCTGCAACCGCTTCAAGGCAGCAGGGGGGAGTAAGTGCATCAAGTCCTCTCCAAGCTCCTTGATAGGGGCTCAGCGGAGAATTGAGTATCGGGTGTATCCCTCTTCTTCTTCTTCAATATACTTTTCCGTGCGCTTCGCGCCCAACCCAAGAGACTTTACTTTGTGCCTTCCATTTCACGGCATGAATCGTTTGCGTACTTAGGAGAGAGAGATCCCATTATGACTTTAGAGAACGAATGGCGACAGGAGATAGGGAAAATCGAGCACAACCTGAGAGGGGAGAACTCAGATAAGCAGATAAGCGATGAGAGAGAGGGAACGTGGGGAACATGATATCTAGACCTGGATGGATGATCGAGGCAAAAGACAAAACATCGGCACTTAGCTTGTGCAACAGACAACGCGGCAACGCTATATCGCTAAACGTTTTGCATGAGGAGAGAAGATGGGGAAGCAGGTGCACAAACAGGTGTAGAAACAGAACCATACAGGGGGCTTCCTTGCGTAGAAGACATGATGTCTTACCGCAGAGGTAGACAGCAGAATGTGGAATCGTTAGAAGAGGACACAGCTCGGTGAACATCAAGCAGCGGGGTTTCGTGACAAGGACGAGACGGAAGTTAAAACCTAACGGACAAAATCGAACAACATGGAGGGCGGGGGAGGACGTAACAGAAACAAGAGCAGGAAAGAAAGCAGCAAAAGACGGAACGCAGATCTCAGACAACCTCGCGGAGAATATCTACCACAGGCGTCATTGGTCCATCTCCGACAACCACAACATCGAAGGCTTGCATATACGCTCTCGATCTCGTCTCCACGTTGTCGTTCAAAAACCCCACCGTTATGCGATTCTCGTAGCTGAGCCCGTCTGACATGCCAAGATCCCCGACGTGATCCCCTAGCAGGATAACATTGGTTCGTTCTCTCATCGACGCTTTCCTTTCCTTCTTCTTCTTCATCTTCTTCTTCTCTTCCATCTTCGTCTCCACTCCTACATGTCCAGCGCCATTCACAACAAGATCACAATTGATGTCGTCGTTTTCCACAACCTCTCGATCAATCCGACGGTTCGCCGCGCTCCATGAAACGCTTCCTCCGTTCTCCTCCTCTTCCCTCCTCCCTTCATTTTCACTTTCCTCTCCTCCTCCTGCCACCCGCAACGTCATTTCCGACAACCCACCCACAGCCCCATTCCCCATCATACCACCAAGCGACACGTCACTGCGGCCTTCCTCGTCGCTGCCGTCGTTACCAAGAGGGGTGGAGGCGATTTCATCGCCATCCTCTTTATCAGAGAGCATCATCAACTGCAACGCGTGTTCATTCTTATTCAAAATGTGGATTGTCTTCCCAACGAAGCCCGTTAGACTGCCCTGCTCATCGAATGCCATCCGATTCGACACCACCGTTATATTCGCGAATTGCCGATGAATGCGCTGGAGCATAACCTCCTCAATGATATCCGCCAACCCGGCTGAAAAAATGAGTAACGGAACCTCCAGCTGCTCAAGGAGAGCAAAAAGCTCCGTACATCCTTCACGGAATTCTATGTTGGCGCTGCCCACCGAGGCCCTGATCGCTGACCGCTGCAAACCTCCCTCCACAAGCAGCCCGTGCACTTTCGTCCACCACTCTTCCATGTACCTGAACTTGTCTTCATAACTCAGATCAGGACAGATCTCCAACGGATAGTAATGCTCATATAGTTGCTGCCGCTTTCGATCATATTCGGGGTTTTCCTGACTCAACAGCGCGTGGCACGTCTGTCCTTTTCGCCCATTCACACGGAATTTCGTCAGAGTCATGTCGAAATCAGCAATGACCTGCAGCTTTGACCTCCCGCCGAGTCGGATTGCTTTCTTCTTCCTCTCCAGTTCCTCGACATTGCCGATGAGCACGCGCGGCCAAGAAGACCCTCGACCCGACCTAACATCCCCACCCCCCTCCTCCTCCCTCCCTGTCTGCTGCTGCTGCTGCTTCCTCATTGCTTCGTTCATGGCCGCCGTGCTATCCGGAAGACATCTCGTCGACACCGAGGAAGACGGGGAGCTCGCTGAGGCTTCCAGTGCTAATTTTGATAGGGACGTGGACGGGCGAACGGCAGCAACGCAAGTCGGGATCCCGTTGGCGGCGGCAGCAGCCACCACAGCAGCAGTAGCAGCGGTGGCAATTGACCGCCGCCCTCCAGGACTCGATCCTCCCGACGCATCGGCGGCCAACACTGACAACGACGGCACTGACGGAGACATCGCCGACGTCTGGGCCGTCGAGGTCGAGGTCGCTGGCTGAGATCCCGATGCGGAGCTCGCAGGCAATGGCGACGACGACGTGGATGAAGCAGACGTGCAGGCGCACGACGAGGAGGAAGGAAATGCGTCTGCCTGGGAATGGCAACGCAATGCGACGGACGATCGCGAGTGTTGTTGGACTGGTAAGCACGATGAGAGAGGGCACACACGCGAGCAAACGACAACCGACCACCCTCCTCCTCCTCCTCCTCCTCCTAGGTGTTCAGTTGAATCCAGCGTCGACGATTTGCTAGCAGCGAGCGGACACTGCCTGCTGAGGAAGCGACCACCTCCTCCTCCTCCACGTTTCCCCCGCAGATGATGCGAAGACGGCATAGATTCTGCGAACACCGCATATGCATTGGGAATAGCAGCAGCAGCAGCAGTTCTTGTCCCCACTAGCCGACACGGATTCTCATGACGGCAGTGGAACAAGGCTGGCGATGAGGCCGGACACTTCACAGCAGAGCGCGACGCCCGCTGGTCGCCGCCCCGCTCTCCTCCGATCCGATCAGCAGCAGGGACGGCGACCACCTCCGCAGCACCCCCGGCATCACCGACAGGTTCCTCCTCCTCTCCCAGAAATTGACGACGGATGACTTCACGAATGTCCTGATAAGGCCGATATAGACTGGGACCGCGGGGATGCCGATCACTGCCCGCTGCTAGCCCGCGCAGAAACCGCGCCGCCCTCGATCGACTGGGAAGTCCATTTGCCAGAGGACGGGGGGTGGCGAGGCTCATAAGCGCGACGGGAAACACGACGCCGCCGCCGCCGCCGCCGTCGGAGGAGCACAGCGGCTACCGACCGACTCCGTTCCTTCGCCGATCAATAGGCCTGGCCACGTGGAGGGGCGGGGCAAGCTCAGCTCCTTCTTCCTCCCCTCCTCCCCCCGCGACTTGTCTTCTTACCTTCTTCTTCCAACAAACACCTCCTCCTCCTCCTATGAGAAACTGAAATTGTGTACGCCCGATTTCAACAACAAACACTCGTTCCGACGTTCTCGGTTTTGCCTCTCAGAACTAAAAAAAGAGCGCGAAAAGATGACGTGACAGCTCTCCGCGTACTCTCCGATTTGGCGGAGAGCGGAGAGCGGAAAGCGGAGAGCAGTGCAGCGAGACCCAAATACAAGAAAAAAACAAGAGGCGAGGCGCGGCGAGGCGATGCGAGGCAAGGCGGCCTGTTGTGATCTGTCAAAGAAAACCTATACGTCGTGTACAAAGAAGCGAGCTATATATAATTCCACTGCACATACCAACATTAAAAATTAAAATATGTAAAGTATGATGAACCATTTGAGTGGCAAATGCGCAGAGACAAAGACGAGAAAAAGTTGATTTTTCCCAACGCGTGGACAAATGAAACTGAGTCAGAAGTATGGATGAACGGATGGATGGACGGTCGGATGGATGGGATAAATCTGTATTATGAGCCAACGGATGAGCGAGCGCATGTACTACACTACACCTCCTCACCTACAGATCTCGGTCAATAATCAATAACATGATGATATATCGTCATCAGTGAAATGTGAGTAAACCGTTCTGAGAAGAAAGACAGACTCGCGAAAGAAAGTCGTTGTTCAAAGCGTCAAACCTATACGACGGTAGATAAAGGGGGGGGCGAAAAAGCGGCGGGGATTACATCGGCAAATTTGCGGGGATTACATTGGCAAATTTGATTACAAGAACCGGAGGTCACATATAATCCCGCCTGCCTGGGACATTTCACACACAGCTAGCGAAACGCAACAAAACTCCCAAACTACTGTCCCCGCCGCTTATTGTTAAATGCAGATGCAGAGCTTCATCTGATCAGCCGCACCAACATGTCCATCCAGTGAATGGAGAAGGCGGGAAGAGTAGTTATAGTTATGCCGATTGCGGAGAAGGGGGAGACCAGCACCAAGAGAGGGATAGTCCGTACTGCGCGCCAGTCCGCTGTTCGTCGGCCGTAAGGAGGGTGGTTATCGAACTCAATTGAATTGAATTGAATTGAATTGACATGACATGCATGGAAATCAAATCACCCGCGCTTGCGCGTCATACGTACACTACTGTAGTATTGTTCCCGCCCGCTGTAAAGAGTAAAACAGAACAGCAGCAGGGATAAACGAAGTTGGGAAAACGACGGCGCGGGATTCGTCTCTTTCCTCCGGCGGGTTCTCTTCTCTTTCTGCTTGCTTTGTACGCTCCTGATGGCGGGACAGAATAAACAAACAGGAGACGTTTTTCATTCAAATGCGATGAATCATTGAATTGAATTGATGAGCCTCCCCCCACTCTCGCAGATGCCGTGCGCGCGAACCCCCAATGAAGGCCACTTCGCCCCCCCAGCACCGCCGCTGCCACGCTCACCCAGGGTAACGGGGAATTTTACTGAATTGGGTCTTTGGTCCCGGCGCTGCTGACAGCCCAAGAGGGCGGGACAGCCCAAAACTGGCGAGCGCTTTTGGACCAATTTTCGCCGTTCCGCGCTCTTCAATTTCGTCCTCACGACGGTCATCGGTCTGGATCCGCACCAACGCGCGTAACTCAGTTGTTGGTGCACCCGGCGAACTGTTAGCGTTACTTCGAGAATTTCGGACCATTTCTCGATTTATGCGTGTCATCCTTGCGCAGGGGCCATGCTAATCTTCTCTGTATCGTTCCAATTTTAACAGATGTCCCGAAGGACACTTCGAGAATTTCCCCCAAGTCTATCCGCGCTCTTCGAGATTTTGTTTTTCGGTAAAAAAAAAAAAAAAAAAAAAAAGAATTTCCCCCAAGTCTGCTGTCTCTTTCCCCGAACAAAACGCACGGCATGTACTATTCAACTTTCCCTGGAAAAGTCGATATCTCGAAGTCGCCCCCTGAAATCGAAATAGTCCGCACTTTGAAATAGTATGCACGTCCGTTCTATTCAAATAGTACGCACCTTTGTTCCATTCGAGGTGAAGGGTGTTCTATTCAAATAGAACACATGCTTGACTGCCAGCAGTGTCGTTTCCAGGTGCGCGCCCTGCAGTATTCCGTCCTCTGTGTGCGTGTGTGTGTGTGTGTGTGTGTGTGTGTGTGTGTGTGTGTGTGAGAGAGAGAGAGAGAGACCCGAAGATCTTTCTTTTTTCCTTTTTTCTTTTTTTTACACAAGACAAAGCACTGTATTATTACCACACCAAAAAGGGGAGGCTGAGAGCATTACCCAGTTTAGCTGCAGGCGTGGAGATTAGTCTAAGACAGAAATGGTCAAATCCGGACCTCTGCCTTTTTTTCTTTTTTTTTTTTTGGGAAAAAGCGAGAATTCCATTAAGACCAAAACTTTGAGGCCCTCACAAACAACCCGGGACGACCGGGAATCCTCACAAACAACCCGGGACGACTCAGACAGATCTGTAGGCTTTCGCCCAACGACTCAAAAACCAAAACAAACAAACCCAAAGCTACCCCCTTTACCAAACAGACCAAACAACACACCCACCACCGGACTCAGAACTCCATGACACTATCCTACTGACACTTGGCCTGGGCTGCCCTTGGGAGGCAGTTTAACCCACAACTCATGACCCTTAAAAATTCTAGAGTACCCTGCCCCTTCTACCATCATCCCTCTTTTTGAGCCTTTTCCATTTCTCCTAATCCCTACCCCATTATAACACCCCATTACTATGCCCACCTATCGACTACATCTGCCCTTTCCCTCATCCCGCCTACACGGCGGTCGGACCCTAACTCGGGACCAAGTTCATCTATTGACACTCTCTACCCTCAAACTGCTCCCCTCTGCCTCCTACAGTGGATGAAAAACGAGTGCCCTGGTATAATTCCACCTAAGCCTAACACTAACTAACCAACCAATCTGAGAAAAACGAGTGCCATACTCTTTCACAGTGACCAATCTCCCATCCAATGCCCACGTTTCCCTGAACCAAGACAGACCGCTCTCCCGCCCTCTGACAGTCGACGTTTTCCTTCTCCAGTCCGCCTGGATCATCCTTCTGATTTCTGTTTTGAAGGTGAGCTTGATTTCGGGATCAGACATAATTTTCCTTTCGAAAAGTGCCCGATTTCTTCCTCTCCAAATGACCCAGAAGCCCACTGCACGCACCGCCTGAGCCACGTAACCCCAACCTTTCTCCAGGTGGAGGTTTTCCGGAACACCTCCCAACAGGACCCATTTTCTGTCCCATGGTAGCAGCTCTCCCGTCCACAGACTCCAATCCTTAGCCCACCATTCCCATATACGCCTGGAAGCCGGACAGTCCCACCAAACGTGAGTGGTGGACTCAAAAGACCACAGACATCTTCTACATTGTGGCTCAACCTTACAACCTCTGCTAATCAGAGTTACTGCCGAGGGAGTTGCTAACAACGACTCTAACCAGAGCAGAGTTGCAGCTCTGGTATTCGGAGCGATCGCTAGTTGTTCCCAACATCTTGGTAAGACCTCATGTATCCGTTCCGTCTCCTCCGGATAGACTCGTTGCCATCTCTCCGTAGCTGTTAGCAGAGGAGTTTTAGGCGGCTTCTGTAGTTCATACGCCAGCTTAAGTGAGAACCCATCCAGCATAAGCGTGTCACCTTTAAGCCCTCTTCCCCTCCAGCCCCATTGATCTGGGTCAGCTCTCAGATCCACAATTGACTGACCGTGATTCCACAAGACCACTTTCCATGTTCCTTCTTCATCAACCGATTCCCTAACTCTAATCTCATGGATCTGTCCTCTTGGGATTTTGATCAGCGTCTCCTCTTCTTCATGATGCACCAAGACTCCCTCCAGACCCTGAGCCCGCCATTGCTGGAACTTCCGTCCGTCTTCCTCCGAGATTTCCACCGATTTCAAAAACAGCCTTCCTCCTTCGTCTGGTACCGTCTCATACCAAGTACCTACAGGGTCAACCTGCGCCGGGTCCAAAATGTAATGCCATTCTTCTGGGATGGCCTCCAAAACTTGCCTTTTCCTTTCCTTAATATACCTAGTAGGTCTCAACTTTTCCTCTAGCTCTTCCTCGCACAGCCAGGATCCGGTAAGGGTATTCCACAAATCCCTCAACCGGGTGACTCCACGCTCCACCCATGCTTTCCCAAAACTCCCTGGAGAAGAAGTTGCCATAAGCATCTGACCCCGTTGATCTCTAATATTCTGGTTTTCAAAAATGACTTGGGACAGAACTTCGGCCTTCGTCTTTGGAGCGCAGCATTGATCCGGTTTAACCTTCCGCCATGCACGTAATACCGCCTGCCAGAATTCAGAACTAATCCTTCTCCTGAGGTACGAATCCATCCAGACACAGGCCCAGACATCTGCAGGTAGATGGAGGTTCCATTCCCTACTCAGGATCCGTTCCCCCAGGAGCACCCAATGCGGGTCTTTGTCCAGGCAGATAGCTCGAACCACCCACTGCGCGAGCATAGCTGTGTTCCTTCGCCATGGATCAATCATCCCTAAACCTCCTTCCGATCTGGGTACACAGATCAAATCCCAGGCCACTTTTGGCATCACATTCTCTTCTTCATCTGCAAATGGTTTCCACACAAATCTTGCCGCCTTCCATTTGACTACAGCTAGCGTCTTCTTCCCTAGAGGCCTTACATTGCCCACAAAGGTGAGCAAAGCAAAAAACACCACATTAATCACCAACACCCTTCCTATGAGGGACAAGTGAGGGGCCTTACCCCACGTGCTCATTCTCTGCAGAACTTTGTTCTGCAAGATCTCCTCTTGCCTTGTGACACAAGACGAGAGAGCCACTTGTACACCCAAGAACCGTTCCGAATCTTGCTGTTGCACTCTCTTCATGCCCCAATCCACCGCCGGAGTGCGTTGACTTGGGAGGAAATACACAGATTTCGACCAATTTATAGCTGTTTCTGACAGGATTTCGTATTGGCTGAGGCACTGGCGCAGAGCCGTCATCGACTCTAACGTATTCTCTGTGACTGCAAAGAGGTCATCCGCTAACGCCTTTACTCTACAAGACTGTTGGCCCAGCCCCAGGCCAACGATGCTACAGTGCTCCCTAATGTTATTTAGCGGGACTTCCAAGTGCACCACGAACAAGAGCGGCGCCAGCGGGCAACCCTGTCGGAGCAACCGCGACAGCTTGAATTCTGAAGAGATGTGACCGTTAACCATGACTGAGGCCGTAGATAACGAGTACAGCGCAATGACCCAAGAGCAAAATACCTCGCCGAACCCCATCCATCTCAAAGTGGTCAACACATACGACCAGTTCACCCGATCGTATGCCTTCTCCATATCTAGGAGAAGGACCGCCATATCTAGATCTTCCTGTCTGACCACCTCCAAGATCTCAATCACCGTCACGATGTTCTCATGTATCGACGTCCCACTGACAAATGCCGCTCGATTTGCTGCCACGAGCGCCGGTAAATACTTTCCAAGTCTTCTGGCCAAGACCTTTGCAAGAATTTTTGTACGAGACATTTAGAAGAGATATCGGCCTCCAATTCCGTATCTCGTTAGTAGCTCCCTTCTTGAAGAGTAGGGAGATGATGCCCTTGCAGGAACTTATGGGTAACCGCCCTCCTAACTGGACCTCGTTATAGACTGCCACCAGTCCCTCCCCAAGCACGCTCCAATGCTGCCTATAAAATTATGTGGGCAGGCCGTCGTTCCCAGGTGTCTTCCCGCTGGCCATCGCCTTCAGAGCCTCCTCTGCCTCTACTTGGGTGATCGGCCGGTCTAAGTCCAAGCGGCCCTGAATGCTCAATCTAACAGTCGTGTTATTCCAGTGGGGCGAGTCCCCTGAAAGGTCAGCATTCGGACCCTCTTCCACTCTCCTTGACGTCAGAATATCCCAGTAGTAGAGGACCTCATACTTGCACAGTTCTGTCGGGGAGACTGTCATTGGATTATCTTGCTCAAACGGGTGTCTCAACTCTTTCATAGAGGGGCCTGATCTTGCTGGATTCAATCTTTGGAATGTTTCCCTTGTCATCCTGTCGTACACCTCCAACCCCTTAACCTTCAGCCTCTCCGTCCATTCTTCTGACGTCTTCTGCTGTAACGTGCCCCATTCTGCCAACCTACGGGCCCTTTCTTTTCCCCACGTTAACTCTGAAATGGGGTGCTCCTTCATCTTCTCTTCTGCCTCTTGAACTCTCTTCCAACACCTCCTCTCCTCTTTATTTCTTTGCAGCGCTAGGATCCTGGAGCAGCAGTCTAACATGTTAGATGTGATTCTCGTTCCCCCTTCCCACCATTCTGTCAGGTTGAAAAATTCCCCTTTTGCTTTTCCCAGCGTTCCCAAAAGTCCCGCGTCCATTGGTTCAGGCCATCCACCTTCAGATTAGCTGTATTTAACTTAAAATACCCCCGCCCTCGGGAGTTCTTTGGGCCGAGGTTAAACATTCCCAGCACCGGCTTATGATTAGAGATCGGGCTGTCCATCGCCTCCACTCCGACCAGACCATCCTTAAGTTTGCCAGCGATCAATAGATAGTCCAGCCTCCCGCCCCGTCCTCGATGGGAGAACCAAGTAAACCTGTGATCGGTTGGGTGCAAGTACCGAAAAGAGTCATGCGGCTCCAAGTCCGCCATCAGGTCAACCAGCGCCATCGTATCCTTCGAGCTACATGCTTGCAAGTTCGTAGTTGGGTCCAAAGAAGTATTGAAATCCCCGCCAATTACCACATTGTCCACATCGGGTAAGACTACCCTCAGTTCATAAAAAAAGGTCACTCGTTCTGACCTATTCACTGACGCATACACTCACCGCCCACGTAAGAGCATCCTGTCTAAACACTATCCATGCCCATCCGTCCCCAAAGGTCAGTATAACAGTCCACTATATCCAGACCTAAGTCTCTGTGAGCTAGTATCCCAACCCCACCTTTCGTTCCCTTGGCTGCAGACCACACCTGTGGACCATCCCACCAACGACCTAGGGCTTGAACCTTCTCCTGACAGAGTTTCGTCTCTTGTAGGCAGACGACAGATACCTTATTGTTATGTAACCAAACTTGACCCTCGCCCGCTTGTCTCTGCCTGAAGTATCACCGAAACCCTGCAGGTTCCACGAGGCTATACGATACTTAACCATTTCTACTACTTCTGCCCTGTGCTGAGTGGATCTGGGCTGATGTGGCAACCTCTTCTCCTACCCAACTCTGAGTGAGCGCCTGATGGACAAACGGCGAGTCGAGTCTCTTTTCCTTCGGAAGTCGAATCTTCAGCTCGGCTATCGTATCGACAGTGATCATTAGCGGGGAAATTACAAAACGACATAATTCCTGCTTCTTACACTCTACGAACAGGGCCAACGGAACAAGGCGAAGACCTAACGTCTCCAGCTCATATACTTTTTCCTCAGTTAACCTCGCGTCTATGATCAGAATATAAAATTTAACTTTATTCCCTGACAGACCAAACAAAACCCTCGACATAGGAATATCAGCTATCACCCCAGCTGGAAAGGCATCCAGGTACAGCGTCCTGATACAATCCTCTATCACCGACAACGAAGGCATTTCCGACATTGCTTGAGCAAAGATACTCAACGGATCAGATCCTTTCTGCCACGCAACCACCCAATACGCATTACGGAACATTGTGCAGAGTAGAGGTAGAAGATACTGAGATATTTCCATTCCTTGCGTCCGAGCTGCCATTGCCAATCTTCTATCCCGTGTGGTCTTACTTCCCGATGTGACCGTCCCGATTTCATGCCCGCCCGATCTCTCTGAATCCTCTCTTGAGATCCTTGAGTTTCCTGACTGCTCCGGTGTTAGCTCCGGATGAGAGGAAACACCGAGTCGTCGTCGTTTCCCCAATCCTCTTCCTCTTACTCGAGACGGGGTACTGGTCGCCTCCAGGTTCCCCAAGGCACCCCCATTGACTCTATTTCCTCTTGGGTCTTCTCGCAGAAGGCTCTATGTACCAGTCTCGAACCCGATACTTCCTCGGGGCTGCACCGAGGCCCCCGGTTCCCCCACCTCCAATTCCAAACTGTCCCGCTTGGAAACCTGGGATGTTCAGATTACTCACACCCATTCCACCCGACTGACTTACGAAAGGTCCTCCTTGTTGTTGAGACACGGTCCCCTGTGCAGCTCCGCCAAAGTTATTCAACCCCTGCGGCATCCCTGGCCATGGGCCGGGCACATAACCGCTCGCCAATAACAAATCTAGGGACACCCCTTATTGGGCCCAGTTTTGCTGTCCCGACATCGCCTGGCCTAAGGGGAGACCAAATAATGGTGCGCCCCCGCCACCTACCTCACGAGATTGGAAGGGTCCTGGAAGTTGTGTCCCCAATGCGCCGCTCTGCCCTCCCCCTCCTGTCCCTGGGGAGAACATTGGATTATTCCTCATGAAGCCACCTTGAAGACCCCCTGCTGGGGGAACCTGATTCGGTGCACTTGGGGCCAGCGACCCTTGGTAACTGCCTTGACGAGGAACGCTTGCTGCCGGCTGATGCTGATAGCCTTGGGCTTGACTTGAGGACGCTCCCGCCCTACCTGGAGCACCCTGAAACCCTGATCTGACCCCTCTCCTGCACTCGTCTTCCGTGTGGAAAAATTGTCTGCATTTCCTACACTTCGGTGTACCCGAGGATGCTAACCGGACTTCTAGGGTATCTCCCTTCGAAGTTTCGATCCACAAAACATCCTTCATGTTCGCTCTTGCCTCCGGTTCAAGGTCAAACTTCGCATTCACGAGTGCTGGCCTTGCTGGATCCGCGTCTGTTGGGTGAGCCAGAACAATTTTGCCGATTACCTTTTCGATCTGAGCATAAATAAAGGGCATAACATCCAGCGGAATTTGCAGCGCTATTACCCAAAAAACGTTTTCATCCTCCTGTCTTCTTAAGTCCCGAAATTCCGCCCTGGTCATCCACGGCTTGAACAGCAGCCTGTACGTCTCCGTTCCCAAAGATACCTCCACTTGTCCTTCTAAGAGCATGAATTGAGCAGCTTCTCTCGTTTTTGCTACGTAGGAGGCAACTCCAGGTCCCTCGATTTTAACTCTCCCCCTCCTCATGTCTCTGCCCAAATTCTCGTTCCCCAACACCCAACCATCCTCAAACACTCTGACGGGGTCATCTTTAATATTCTTCGGAAGAAATCTGGCCGCATCCTTATAAATAACCGAGACAGTGCGCTCCTTGAGCCACTTAACCTGTATCTCGTCCAAGGAGGTATTCAATTTAAATATCACCTCTCTCCCATCCACTCTCATCTCCCCTAGGTCTCTATCGGGTACACACCATCGTCAAAACATAGCTGCAAAAGGTCCCGAATCCTGTCTTCATCCTCCCAGTAATCTCTCTCCACCTGAGGGGCAACAGGAGGAGACCTCCCTGTCCCCCCCCCCCCCGGGGTAGACTCCATCTTCCTCCCGTTAACTACTAACTCAACCCTAATACTCCCAACCTCCCCTTGGATCCCTCTCTTCTTACCTCGCTTTCGCTCTAGGCTTCCACTCGTGATGTCCAGGGGCCACTTCCTCTGTCCGTCCAACTACATCTATGGCTAGTACATCGCCATATCCACCCTTCAAGGAGGGTGCGTGATGAGAGAACTCCCGAACGCTATCTCGTTGGTAGCGCCCTGGACGACAGCTCGGGTCTTGCCGACCCGGTACCGCTTGGCAGAGCGCACCGCGCCGGCCGAAGCAAGGTCGGACCGCTGCCTTGACACTCCCAACCCTGGAAAACAAAAAGGGAAAAAAGAAATTCAATGCCACATGGCCTTAGGAAAAGCCAAACAAACCGAATCCACCCCCCAAAATAAACCCAAATTCGCCCTCACCCTCCTATCTTTTCTACTAATATCTCTGTCGCGTCTAAAAAAGCCTACTGAGTCCTGGCTAACAACTTATCTCCCCTACTCCCTCCACCTATTCAGCCTTCTAAGTCGAAGGCTCGAGATCATCCTCTACTGGAATGGATGCTTCCTCCGCATAAGGTTCCCTCTGCCTGCCTGCCTCCTGCGGCCTGTACCTGAAACCGAGCACCCAGGTTTCTAACACTCTATCTCCCATTACTCTAATCTGCTATCTCTATCTTTCTAATTCTCCCACAAGTTATACGACCTCGCGCCGGAAGGCAGTAAGTCCTGTAGATGAGGTGCTATCTCCGGAGGTTCAGTAGTACACTGGGCTCGCTTTGGCCCTTCAATGGCTGAATAACCAAGGGTCTAGGTTTAGCTTTCCATCTGATCCAATCGTGGCCAGTGACTCAAAGGTACACCAAGTCTTTTTAAACCAGCGAACTCTGCTACCTTCGATATGTGCCTTGGAGACCTTTCTGCGCCAATCCGCCAGAATCTGTCTGCGAAGAAGCGAAATGAACGTTGAGTGAATCTGCTTGTTTGGCCATTCTTTTCCCTCAAACACTCGAGTGTTCCTGCATTGCCAAATTACCTGGAAGCTGCACGCTCTGAATACTTGCCCAACGTATCCCCACCCTTTGGCTAGTTTAACCTTTCCTGGTGGTCCTCCTAGCATGATCCACTCCTTCTCCCATGGAAAGGTTGAGCTGGAAACTTTGTTCCAGTGTTTAACAATCCATTTCCATATTCTGTCTTAGTCCGGGCAGTCCCACCACAGATGCCCCAGGGACTCAAATGCTCAATGACAGCATTTACACTGTAAGTCAAGTTTCATTCCCCTTTCCGCCAACCAAACTGCTAAAGGGGTAGCTGCTAGAGATACTAGCCACATGATAGAAGCCTGGCGCTGACAAGGGATAAGCTTGAGTTGCTTCCAACAATGTTTGATGGATTTTTCTATCTCCAACGGATCTAGGCTAAGCAGTTGGGACCATCTGTTCCTGGCTGTCAGTAGGGGATGTCTAATTGGGGGCATGTGGTCATATCCCATCTTCTGAGTACACCCTGCTAAGCACAAGTTTTCCCCGTGAGCCCCTTTAGCTCTCCATTCACAGATCTTGGGATCCAGTTTCAGATATTTAATAGGTTTACCAGAGAGAAAACAGGGGCCTCTCCTGCTGAGATTTGTTGGATAACTCTCACCTGTGCTAGCCTGGAGCCAGCTTCGGGCTGTGAGTCCTGTTTCGGTGCCCTGGATAGATTACCTGATTCTATATCCCAAACCTGGAATACACGTCTTCTGTCCTCCAAGAAACTGTCTAGTTTCCAAACTCTGGTCACTCCTGGTTCTTCTTCCATGTACCAAGTGCCTACTGAGTCGACTGAGATTGAAACTAGAAGATTTTTCCAGTCGACTGGAATAGCAGCTATCAGAGTTTGCCTTCTTGCCGGTTGATGGTGCAGTTGACCCAGACTCTCCTTCAGGTTTTCCTCGGTTTCCCAGTTCCCCAGCTCATGATCCCATATGTCTTTAACAGTCAGTATACCTCTTTCAATCCAGGGCCGTCCGAAACTGGATTGACCGGAATCCGCTTTGAACCAGTCTCCTGAGACCTCTCTAATATGCGGGTTCTCAAATAATGGTTGGGAGAGGACCTCAACTCTGGTCTGAGGTAGAGGCCAGGAATCCGGTCTCAGTCTCCTCCACGCTTTAAGAATCGATGACCAAAATTGCGATTTTACGTGGCGACGCTGGTATAGATCTTGAAACAACGGTGGACGCGTCATGTTTTGAGTTCCTAAAGGCACGAAAAACAGGCCTTCCGCGACTGTATCAGGGCTTGAGTTTGAAAAGGCGTTCGTAACTCAAGGCCGACAGTGGTGTCAGCGCAGAGTTCGAAAAGG